TTATAATGTCTTACATCATATTACACAATATGATAATGGAGGATGAGCGAGATGGGTATATTGATAGAGAGTCTGATGATGACCAAGAATATCCAAATAGGTCAAGAAAGGCTCGTGCAAAAATATATGATGGACCTAATTTGTCTTTCAATTCAAGAATTGGTAGTATCTCTATAAATGAGTACATGAGGCGCTATAAAATGATATGTTTTCATACCACAGATAAGTACCTACAACAGGATCTTGTTGCACATCTTTGAGCCAAAAATAGCATGGAGTAGGCATTTAAGTTTTATGTTGTAAATTTTTTATGTTGGTTAATGTTATTTAATGTTGTTTCATGTTACTTAATTTAATTTAATGTTGTATAATGGCTTAGGAAATTATAGGAAAAAAATAGAATTTAAAAAATATATGAAACATATTTTGTAAAATAGAAGTTATAGGAAAAAATAGAATTAAAAAAAAATATGAAACAAATTTTGTAAAATAGAAGTTATAGGAAAAAAATATAATTTAGAAAAAATATAAAACAAATTTTGTAAAATAGAAGTTATAGGAAGTTATAGAAAAAAATAGAAGTTATAAGAAAAAAATAGTGTAAAAATAAAATAAAAAATAAAATAAAAATGTAAATAAATAAATAAATAAAAATAACGGCTAACTGATGTCAGCTAGCCGTTGCATTTGAAATTTGGCCTAGAATTCCTGTCGGTTATATCCGATAGGAATGCTAGAATTTCTGGTCCAGCTCGAGACTGACTGGATTGGGCCAACCAGTTGGCCCTTTCAGATTCCGTGGGGCCCACGAGCCCTCTAGCCTAGCCCTCGGTTGGAGACGGTTTTTGGACTATTTTCGACCATCTGACCATCTGGACCATTCGGTTGGAGATGACCTAAAACGAGTTTTCTGTCCCTCATTCGGTTGAAGGTGACCTTATACATTAATGGACTCCAAGCAGTTTTGGCCCATTAGGCATTGGACATTTAGGGGGTGTAGTCAATTTATATTTCATAGGATTTTAATACTTTTTTTTAAGTGACAGATTTGAAATGATTTTAATAGACTTTACAATTCTACATAGATTTTGGCAGATTTATATAGATTTGTATGAATTTGTATGGGCTGTCTTCCATGGATTTCTTAGGATTTTCAAAAAGAAAATAAATTTTTATGTCAAAAAAATTAAATAAAAAAGAGTGATTCCATCCCTTCAATTAACAAAAATTCAAGAAATCTCTTTCTTCCTCTGCCCATTTTCCTCTCTTATGTGCCTTTCAATGACTTCCAAAGAGAGTGCCTTCCAATTAGACCTGGCATTTCAAACCCGACCCGTTAATCCGACCCGACCCGACCCGTTAAAATGAGTATTTGGGTGAGTGTTAACGGGTTTGGTGGTTAACACCCGTTAAATAACGGGTCATTTTGGGTGAACCCGCGAAACCCGTTAACCACCCGTTACACCCGTTATTAAGGGCTTTTGTGTAATTTCAGTTGTCAATTATAAGCATTGCAGACTTGCAGTTTTGTGCAGTTTGTCTCGCATTGCAGTGTTTCTGCTTTGCAGCCTGTCGCTCTTGAATTCTTCTCTTTCTTTTTCTTTCGCATCCCTCTTGAATCTCAATGCACTTCAAAGACAATTAATAATAATTATTAAATGATAAATACATTTTTGAAGGTAAAAATCCAAGAAAATCTTGGAGTAATTGGGACCAATTACCAGAAGGAGGAGGAGAAATCTCTGAAATTGTTAAGCTGCGAAGAGGAGGGATTGTTCTGGCGATCCTGGCCAAAATTTCTTGAAAATTCGCATTCATGGCGTCAAGAAGTTAAAAGATTGGTAATTTATGAATCGATGTATAAAACCATAAATCGGGCAGAAGAAAATGTTCAAGAAAATTCAAGAACCTGAGCAGAGCGATACCAAAGACTTTGCACAGCTTGTGTTTGTGGAAATGTCTCCGAGAGGACAATTGGATAAAATAAAATAAAAAAAGTTAACGGGTGAAACGGGTTGAAACGGGTGACCCGTTAGCTTAACGGGTTGGGTTCAGATGACCCGTTAGCTTAACGGGTTGGGTTCGGGTGATCCGTTAAATTAACGGATCGGGTTCAACCCGACCCAAACCCAATAAATCCGATCCGTTTACTGGTCTACTTCCAATGACCGAAGCACCAAAAGCCAACAATAACGAAGAAAATTCGATACATAAACCCATGTCTTTGGCACGAAAATGTGAAGCTATTTTTTAAGTTATTTGCTATGAAATTTGAAGTGAGCATTGAATTTCTTAGAAATGTTGGGCAAGTTGGAATATGGGCATTTGGAAAAATGGAGGTTTTAGTTGGTTTCTGTGAAGTGGGTTTTGGATTGGAATATGGGTTGTGATATTGGCTTGGTCAATTTTGATGATTTGAGTGTGAATGGATCCAAAGGGCTGCCACAAAATTCTTGCTCTACATCTTCTTCTCTGCAATCACCTTGGCCTACTATGTATTGCAATCCATCACCTTGGATTTTGTTTGTTTATAGTTTGAATAGTAAGGTTGAAGGCGATGGTAGGGAAGGGAGGGACGGGGAAGATGAATGTTCATCTTCTGTGGTTGCGTGAAAAGAAATCTGAAGGGGGAGGTTGGATTCTTGATGCTCTTTGGTATATATACCACCTACCTTCAAATCTATCTAAATTCTTCACTTATTAAAATCCTAACAAATCTTTTACATTTTCACTACACTTGAATTTAGATGTATTCTTTAAAATTGTAATTGACTACTCTTGGATTTTGATGTATTCTTCAAAATCTTTTTAAATCATAATTTGGCTACATTATGATTTCAAAATCCTTTTTTAAAATCTAATTAGCTATACCCGAATTTTGAAATCTATTAAAATCCTATAAAATTCTAATTTGACTTCACCCTCCTCAATTTTAGGCTTGTTATTCCTTATTTATGTGCTTATTATTAATAAATTTGTATTAAATTTTTTAAATTAATTTTTCTAATTTTAAAAGTGTTTTTCATTAATCTGAAAAAAACATTGATCGTCAATTAGTTGGATGACTTTAGGGTCCCGCAGAATCAACGGCGGAAGATTGATAATCAAAGTGATACAGCATATCAGCGACCGCAGTGGAAGATTCCGTCTTCATTATGTTAGCGTACATTTTGCCACTGATCTGACACATTGTGCGGACTGAGAAACAAAGATTTCCTTCATTTAATTCGGGTGATATTTTCGGGTTAGGGCTGAGAATACAGAAAATCGGAGGAAATGGCAGGTGAATTGAGCATGTTCAAGTTCGTGAAGCCAAGGCTTCGTCCCCATACTACCGATGTCCAAGCCGCCGCCGCGTGGGGCGTCGCCGCCTTTACCGGTGCCCTTTGGCTCGTCCAGGTCTGTAAACTTTCATGCCTGTCGCTTCGATTTTCCACGCGCTCTGTTGGATCGCGCCTTTTTATCTTCTTGTTGAAATAAATCATTTCTCGTGTGCAAATTTGATCAAAGATTATCGAAAGTCCATGTTTTTTAAACAATTGTAGCACTGAGATTGCGGATGATGAATCCATTTGCATGGAAACGGAGGATTGGACTGCAGATTTTACTGTATTTTTGCTAGAATTTCTGGTTTATTACTTTTAATTATTGATAATTATTAATTACAGCTGACTCCCATCGGTTCAAATCCTGATGAATGTGTTTTCTGATTGAGTAATCTGCTTGTTGCTGAAACTTTAATCGTTTATAATTTCAAATAACTGTTTTCCGCTGAGAAGGTACCGAGTAGCACAATTGAAGATTAGTTTTAATTTGCTATGTGTGAAAGAATTACGATCATTAGCAGATGATCATAATCCCGTAAAAGTAAAGAATTAAAATCGTTAGCCATGGAGCACCATTCGTTGGACTCCTGCCGGAGGATGTATTAGAGAGTTATGTTTGGATGAAATCCATCTACAATTTGGTTGCAATTTATCATGTTTTCATTATTAATTTTCTCAAATTTCGACCTGTCGGAAGTTCCATGAACTTCTCCAACTTAGCCGGAAGGCGATGAGTTTTTGTAAGCTCTGGTTTTGTTTTGCACTTTCCCAGAGCCTATGTTTGCATCATTGTTATTTTGCGTTTATAAGTTATTAATCTAAGAATTAAGTCTAATATTTTGTAATTTTGTTTTGCAGCCGTTTGATTGGATTAGGAAGACCTTTATTGAGAAGCCAGAGCCCGAAGCTAAGTGAGGAAGGGAATTGAACATTCTGGTAAAACTTTTCGGTTTCTGTTATGTGGATTGAGCTTTGTGTTGATGAAACTACCAAGTGGAAGAGTTTATGCAAATAATCATGTACTTTCGTACCCTTGATCATCGTTAATTACATGTTGATCATCGTTACAAAGGCCTTTCTTTGCATTATCTTACCAATTCCAGGGTCTTTGTTTGTGCATTCTTGCAGTCTACTTTCTTATCTGTGTTTTGTTTGGCATGTGAATGTGATCTTCTAATCCTCTATAAACAAATAACCATATGAAATTCCACACATTATGTAAATGAAACAAGCATTCCTTGGCCATTCGTCTTGCTGATAAATTACTATCTGACACATCTGCAAAACTTATTTATTCTTTCCTGATTTTAACGGAGTTACTTTTGCATACATGTTAGACAATGATTTGCATTTTTAACGAAAATAGCTCATTTACGTGTCAGATAGTGATTTGAAGCCAATGAGAAATGACTCCTTAATAGCCTTATGTCGGAATTTAGGAGTTTGTAAATTTCATTTGCATATTAAGGCTTATGAGTCATGCTCTCCTAAGGTCCTCATTATGAGGACTTGTGAGGATCAAATGCACATTAGGAAAAAATTATATTAGTTTAGATTAAGTGGTTTAAAATATTTGACACTTAATAAAGTAAAAAAAAAAAAAACAGAGTTTTCTAATGGTTGATAGATTTTAAGTTGGTTTTGCTTTATTAATTTGTCAAATATTAACCTTTTTTTTTTTTTTGGTCAATATGCATTTGGTTCTTAGGTCTTCAAAATGAGTATCTTAGGAGAGCATGACTCTAAAGTTTATATGGAATGACACTCATGCAAGAAGACGTGATTTTCGCACTTTTTTATATGGAATGACACTCATGCAAGAAGACGTGATTTTCGCACTTTTTTTCTTCTGCATTTCTTCTCCTTTCTCTAATCTAGGGATTGAACAAAGAAAACAGAAATAAAGAGAGAAGTACAAGGGGAATGTTAAAGCGACTCTCATGCAATATTTTTGTATTTGGGTCATGGATTGGAGACCAAAGCCCATCATACTCATCCCTTATAAGATGCCCCATTTGCCTTCAACTCCAAAATGGGTACCCGACCCAGTTGGGATAGGCTAATTTTTTTATTTAATTTATAATGTTTAATTTTTTTTTTTTAAAAAGGAAAAGGCAAAAGCGTGCGAAAGTAAACAGTACCGAACTCAATCTATGGATTCCAATTTTGAATTTCCCATTCTAATTTTAGGTTTTGGTAGTGGTAGGTAGGTAGACTCGAGAAGGCGCGTAACTTGACGCGCCAAACTCCAAAACGAACGTAAGAAGTAGGACGCAAACAGAAAAACCGAACCCTAAAACACACGCGGCACAACGTCGGCCGTCCGATCTCCAGATATAGTCTAAACGTTTGTTCGCGTCTCGGAAACAGACCAGGACATTTTGCCGGAAGCAAAATAAAGGGGAGGACTTTCGACAGTCCCAATCTCTCTCTCTCTCTCTCTCTCTAGGTTTCTTACTCCCCTGTCGATTCGGTTTCTAGGTTTTCTGGGTTTCTTTCCCTTCGATTCACTGATCAAAGGGTGGATTTTGTTAGTCAATTTAGAGGAAAAATTGCGAATTGGGGGAGATGGAGAAGGAGCTTCTGGAGTTGTTCGACGCCGTGAAGAAGACGGCGGACGCCGCCACATCTTGCGACGGAGGAATCGAGGAAACCCAATGCCTTGAGGCCTTCGAGCAGCTCAGGAATTTTCCCGTCACTCATCAAATCCTCGTCTCAACCCAAGTACGTTCCTTTTTCTTTTTGTCCCAAATTTAATTTGAATTTAATTTGAATTATTTTTTTTGTCAAAATATTGTTTTGATTTTATTCTCCGCTGTTAATTCAATTACTCATATCTAGATGACATGAATCAATTTTTTTATCTAAAAGTTTAATTATCCTTTTATTTTCTCTTGTTTTTTAGAAGAAATTTGGTAGACTAAAACAATTTGAACATATTATTCATAGACCAGAATTTATCTTCCATAAGAAATAAAGCTGCAATTTCTGTGTCCTAATTTGAAATGTCACATTGGTCTGTGGATTCAACTTTTTTCCGTAAATTTTGGTATGCAGTTTTAGCTCTTAGAGACGTTTAAGATTAAATTGAAGTACAGTATCTAGATGATGTCCTGTCCATGGCCAAGATGTGTTGTTTGTTTAGTTGTAGATTGTTCTGCGTTGTCTAAATCTTTTTCTATGGGGCATGGGTGAAAAGACGTGAAATTGGGTTTGAGGTTTGTTCTGACCTTTGATATGTAATTTTCCAGGTTGGGAAGCGTCTTCGACATCTCACAAAGCATCCTAGAAAGAAAATCCAGTCTGTTGCTTCTGGCCTGTTGGATAAATGGAAAGAGATTGTTATGATCGAGGTAGAAAAAACTGCGAAAAATGTGAACTTGGAGAGAATAGACTCTCTAAAACGTGATTCTCCACGTGCCGACAGCCCCAGGCCTGAGAAGGTTCAGAAGACATCTGCTGTGAAGGTTGAGAAGGTTTCCAAGGCTGAACCTGTTGAGGTTAAGAAGGTTGATCGTGATGTCAAACCAAGATCTGAGAATGCTTATGGTTCCGGAGCTGTCAAAACAGAAAGGAAGGTTCCAAATCCTAATCCTGTCAGGACTGAGAAAGCTGCTTCAGCGGAGACTGTTAAGGTTGAAATGATAGCCAAAGAAGTGAAGAAACCAGCACTCAACTCCTCTGATCCCCCAAAGTTAACCTCTATGATTAAGTGTAATGATACAGCTCGGGACAAAGTAAGGGTACTGCTGCATGAGGCCTTGTCAAAGGTTGCTGCGGAGGGTGATGAAAGGTTTGCCGATGAGGTGAATGCAGCTGATCCTATTCGAGTTGCTGTCACTGTGGAATCTGTGCTCTTTGAGAATTGGGGTGGTTCCACCGGCTCTCAGAAGGCTAAGTATCGATCTTTGATTTTCAACCTGAAGGACCAAAAGAACCTAGATTTCCGGAGAAAAGTTCTGCTTGGACATATCAAGGCAGAGAGGCTTGTGAACCTGTCAACAGCGGAAATGGCAAGTGATCAGAGGCAAGAGGAGACCAAGAAGCTTGAAGAAAAAGCATTGTTTGAGTGCGAGCGTGGAGGGCCACCAAAAGCGACAACCGATCAATTCAAATGTGGTCGGTGTGGGCAGCGCAAGACCACCTACTACCAAATGCAGACCCGGAGTGCGGATGAACCTATGACAACATATGTAACATGTGTAAACTGCAATAACCGTTGGAAGTTCTGTTAGGGATTCTTGTAGGAGCCATGGCCATTTTATTGCCATTTTGACGTCGTAAGTTAAGAGTCATAAGACGTGCAGTTTGTAGCGTGGTGGTGCGATTAGGGCAGTTGGACGAACGGGAACTAGTCAGGACGAATGATTCCCATTCGAGTATTGTAGCATGTAGAACTCTTTCTTCAATCATGTTTTCATGTTCTGGAGTTGGTAGGCATAATTTGTTTGGAGATGCTTTTATTGAATCGACACTCTTCGTTTCTTTCACTTCACTGATGATTCGTAATTTCATATTGCTGTGTTATTGGACTGTTATTCCAGCCTAGGGATTGTGGTGTGTGTTATTTTTGAAAAGGTAGTGATCTTCAAGCTCTCGTTTTCTCTTTCTGTAATTTTCTTTTGTTTTCGTCCCTTGATTCTTTTTGGTATATTCAATTCGAATATTAGAAAAATTGAAGAAAAGGGGAGTGCATAAATCGTTTTCTTCCAAACATAAGCTTTTGTTGTTGGTTTGCTTTTGGCTGTGGAAGCAAGTGCTTTTAACAATATTGCAACTTGCGAGTGTGTTTCTTCAGCAGAACTTGGAAGCGCATAAATTGGTACTACATAAATTGGGACAATTTGAACCACAAGTGCTTTTATAATCAGGAAAGCACTAGAAAACAGTTGGGAGCTTTCTAGTCACACTCAATTTTTGTCTCAAGACATCCATAGTTCTGCCGAACATTAATAATAAATTCGGTGGATAATACCGAATGTGAAAGTATTTGAAAGTGATGATTCGGTGGGTTCTTGCCGAATAATTTATAATGCAGTAAACATCGTTTATTTTGGAAGTGCTTTTAGCCTTCTAACCCTCCCTTGCTTTTACGTACTAACTTTTTTTGAGTATATTGATATTTTTACATTAAGAAGAAGAAAAGTTCGGTTAAGCCACACAATGGGCAACCTAATTAAATATCAAATTCCTCATCCACGAGACTTCCAAGTAAAAGGAACACCACCAGACCGTAGTACTGAATGGTTGCTTTTACATACAACTTAATAATTCTTGAAATTAAAACATACTATAAGGATCTAATGGCGTTTTGGATTCATTTCACACCAAAATTATCAAAACAATCGTTATATATTGGAACAAACACTGGACGAACGATTCGATTATTACAACCATCAGCATTCACAAATAAATAAGAAAAAAAAAATCACGATTGGGAACGTTCCTTGAGAGCCTGAAAAACCCTAGAGCTCTTGTAAAATATTTGAGCCCTTCTGTTGTAGTCGTCGGGTTCTTTGCCTTCGTCTTCCCCCATGATCGCCTCACGCTCCAAACACTCCAGAAGCTCCACCATTCCTTTATCTCCGCACTTCTCGCTCCACCTCCCTTCCCTCATCCACTCCGCTCCTTCTTCCGCCCTCAACTCCGCCTCCAACTCGCTTTCCACCTCGGTTGAGCATCCCTCGTCTCCGCACCTCACCGCCACCGCCTGTTTCTTGCGGTCCAAGCTTTCCTGCCTTAAGATCGCCCCATGGTTCTGCCAGTTCCTAAGTCTGAACCCTAAATTGTTGGGAGTTGCAGGGGTTTTGGCTGTGCGTGTGGGGAGGATGGAAGGGCAGAAGTTGTGCGTTTTTGTGTGGCACAGAGAGAGCTCCATTTTTGAACCCTAGTTTTTTTAGCCAAAGTGGTTGGTTAGGTTGGGGTGGATGTGTATATATATATATAATAGTATAGATGAAGGGTTGGAGGGGATGACACGGTGGCGGTGTTCTTGTTGCTCCACGTGTCCATTTTGGACACGTGACATGGTGGGGAGGCACGTGTTTGTTAGAGGTTTCGAGCATCGAGGTGATGCTTGCAGAGAGTGTGGGATGGTTTTATTTGGAGAGTTTTAACAAAATATTTCCAGTACTGTTTATTTTTAATAAAAAATCATATTTTTACCTTTAACTGGCATTATGCACTATACCTTTAAAAATGGTTTTTCGTTAAATGAGAAGTTTTTTTGGACTTTTCGTTAGTTTTCCTTTTTATTTGTTGTCCACGAGAAATTTTTAGTTGTGATGGAAACACAAGTGGTATACCATGTGTTGTAATAGGAGTGATGTGAAATTTTATTTTTTAAGTTATTAAGTTTTTAGCACACATATTCAACCATTTGTATAGTGACACGTGGTGTACCATTCTATGTACCAATAACATTGAAAAATCTCTCATTGTCGACACGAAGAGGCACACTTTTCAAAGTGTCATGGCCCACGTCAGCCCTCCGAACCCTTGCTGATCTATTCTTTGTGCCCGATTCAAGGCAAAGACTTGATCAAAAAAATAAATAATAATAATTCAAGGGAGCGACGGTTAAATGTTAATCTGATAATAAAAATAGAAGAAACGTCTTACCAATTGTTCAAGTGAAGGAATACCTTTGGCATAATTGGACTAACAGTTTCCATGGTGATAGAGTAGTAGGAAAATAATTTTTGTTGTAAAAAACCTTAAGATTTAAAATCATGTAATGATGTTTGTTAGCAATTAAGCTCAAAATTAAAATTTTCGTAACTCTCCATTCTTCCCTTAAGTTGGAATATCTATCCTCCCCTTAAGACATTTTTACTCAATAAAATCCGAGGAAGAATCAAAGAATTTAGAATAGGAGAAGTGTAAATAAACGAAATATAATCAACAAGCCCCCTAATTGATGCGATTGTTTATTTTAATTATTTGATTATGGATTTTAAAAATATATTAAACAAGTTTCCGATTTTATATGTATAAACAGCATAAAGTTCAGAAGTAAAAATGATTCTCATGTTGACATTTTAGCTAAACTCAATAATCAAAAAGAAAGAAACCAATGGTTTTAAGTCTCTCCTACCTTATGAAAGGGACTCGTCAACGAAGAACCCTAATCAGATAAAATGTCACGCTCTTTCCTCCTGCTTGGAAACTTCACATTTGAAGAGAATCCTGCTTTGTTTACTTTTTGTTTGTTTGATTTGATTGGAAATCTTGCTCAACTTGTGATTGATTATGTGAATAGGCAGGAACCAAATTACTACCAATCATAACTATTCAATGTGTCAGAAACACGACCTGATACAACATGTGCCTAATACCTTTAGTTGGAGATTAAAGATTATTCAGTGCGTTGGAAACACGGCCTAGTACACCATGTATTATACTATGATGACATATGATGTATCAAACCACACTCCTGGCACACTGAAAAATTTCCCTATACATATAGACGGGTCAAGCACGCTTGACGTCACCGTTTTTGTATTTTCTGAAATCTTTGATATTCCTTGCCACACTTTCCACGAAGAATATGACATGCGGATGAAACCTACCCATACTACGCTTTCAGTATTGACAAATCGATTTAATTTTTTGGAGGTGAAAGTTTGGACTAAGTCGGAATGGACCAACAATAATTTAGTTCTGAGCTCATCATATATGAGTCGAGCTAAGACTCTAAAAATACCAATAAACTGTAATGCAACTAGGACCGGCCGCAAATCAATTTTTAGACCAAAAGAATACTACCGAGAGGGATTTTAGAATTTAGTGACTAGTATCTGTGTAATTAAAATCAGACATCCAAAAAATTAGCAATAAATAATGAAGGATTCAATATATACAAGAAAAATGATAGTTCTGAAAATAAAATTCTAATTAAACAAAAAACATAATTGAAAAAGCCTAACAAAATCTCCTTTTTTTTTCCTGTGTTGCAATGCGTTTCTACGAAATTGCTACTGTACTTTCAGCTGCTATGTTATGGTAATGAAGAAGATGCATGCTGCTCCCTATGTCTCTTCTCAGCTGCTATGGCAGCAGCCACAGAAGGTGGCAAATGCCGTAGACTTTCCGTTGCGTTCTCGTCGGGAATTTCAGTTGGCTTTCGTTAGTTTCTGGTACCGGGGGTGGCACCGTTGCGAATAAGGACTCGATGTCTTTTAATGTGAACTAAGGCTGGTCTTGGTTCTTCGTGTTCCCGATGAATGCAGTGCTGTTCCGGCTTTTGTTGAGTTTATGTATACTCCCTTCAACCGTGTCTTTAACCTAACTCCAAAAAACGACTTAGCGTGATTAAATATCGAAAATGCACAGATGATTGTGTTCTCACAAGCATTTTCTAGTGACATGTTAGTGAATCTTAAAACAAGTTGTTTTACAAAACACAGAAGCATCAGAAAGGGAGATGAACATACTATGAAACGATGAGCTATGGTCTTGCTTTTCTGTCCTATTCGGTGAACCGGGCTGATTGCTTGTGCTTCTACTGCTGGATTGAGAAGCGGTTCGACAAGGATAACATGCTTCGCTTCTAGAAGATTGAGGCCGTTGGCTCCATGTTGAATTAAGAGCAGTAACACTTGGAAAGATTTTTGCTCGGGTTTCTGTCCACGTAGCTTGTGATTTCCTTTTGCACTTATCTTTTCTCCTTTGAATTCGCTAATGGCAACTTGGGATTTCCTGTACTTACACAGCAAGCGTATTTAGAAAAAGGGAAAAGCAATTCCAAGTTCAGTAAATTTTATCTGCTGTAAATTCGGTAATGGCTACTTACCTTCCTCCTTTCATCTGAATATGAGTAACGTCATTCGCAGTGAAGGATTCTTCTTGTCACTGCTTCAATCTGCACGAGTACCCCGCCCCAAATGAACATTAATAAACTTGCTGACACAAACTATACTAATAGAGTGGCAAGGGTCAGCAGGAAATGACGAAGAGGTATGCTAGAGTTCTTATTTGTTTGGTCAGGGAACCACACGTACAAAATCGAGGATAGATAGAACACATACCTTTGTTCCATATGAACCTTGACCATGACAGATGCTTCAGACATTTCACGACTTTCGGTTGTATGAAGCACAGAAGAAGCACAAGTTTCACTCTGTCCATCATCAGCATAAGCAATGTTTCCAACATCACTATGTTGTCGACATGTTGGGCATTTTACCCACTTATCATGAACCTTGTTATGCCGTTCGGTAATTGCAAATAAACCTAGCAGGAACAGTTGTGAAATCGAATTAAACGATAGTTAATTAAGAGAATATAAGGAATTATCAGTGAAGAGACGCACCAAGAAAAAAAAAATAATAATAACAAAAGGAGGACAAAAGGCAATTAGCAGGATGGAGACACAGATAGAAGATTGCCACTAATGACTCACGTAAGGTTTCCCAATAGCTACAGTTAGCCTACTGAATCACATTTTTGTTCAACCAAGGAAGGCTCTCGGAGAATTTAGCATAAGACTGGTGTCAAGATTTTCGGAGATGCAGACTTGCATTTTAGGTATTTCGTGTCCATAGCCCATATTTGCATTTTTTTGGAGATGGTACGGTGATTACTAAGGCAATGGTTATATCATGGAGATGGTAACTTACATTTACAGCATGTAAGATGCCCACACGGAAAAACCATCTTCCGAATGGTTAATGGATCTTGACAAACTGGGCATGTTTCTTTATCGCCTGTAGGTATGCATCCATTTTTCTGTTCTGTGGATGTTGGAATGGTGACTGCCCCTTCAGCTACGGACGAAGGGTTTGGACTTTACAACGGCACCTTTTGTTTAGCTTGTACCAGACCCTGGGAACAATAAAAAAGAGTTACTATCGACTACCGACAGCAGCAACAACAAAGACATTCTATATTTTATAGTTTAACAAGTAGAAAGGTCAGTGCGCAAAGCATACCACCAAAGGGCACACAATTCTGCACCCAAAAGAAAATCTAAATATGAATGGTTAAAAATGGACTTCTGCTTCTACCTTTAAATAACGAAGTTTCCCTTTTGTAACAGACAACGAATTCAAGGACGTGAACTTGTCGCTAGTATATAGGACGCTAGCTGAAGGTAATTCTTCTTCACTTAAAGCATCAAGAGCTTTATGATCCTCATCTTCTGCCAGGCGCAGTCTTAAGGTTGCCATGTTAATTTCATCATAAGCTTGTAGAATTTGAGCTTGGGCTATTGCCAAGGATCTTGCATGGGGATACTCTTTACGCATGCCCTAGACCAGGTAAGAAAGAAAAAGGATCATATCTTGCGAAAGCCTAACGGGAATACTATCAGCGGACAATTAGCATCCCAAAGAAAACAAAAGTTTGGCACGAGTAGCCTCCGTTCTGTGATCCATCAACTACAGGTGTTCTTAGTTTCAGGGTCAAATAGTTGCTACTGAAAGAATAGTACAATACAGGACATGCCTCAAGAATGTGGAGGTGCTTTGTGGATTCTGATATACCATCCCTCCCTAATTGGGCCTTGCAATGATTTCTTATAACTCCACGAACAACCTCTAATTCAGATGGAGATTTTGAAACCTATCATCCAAATATGATAAACAGGACAAATTATAGAAGCTCCATACTTTAGTTTCGGTGCCATTTAAAGTATAAACGAAAGACGGCTGCATTTTATCACCCTTTAAGGATGAACAAAACTAATAGTGAGATAAAGTGACTGACCACAACTTTTCCAGCATCTCTCTTCGTCAACTCTTTATTAGAATTGGATGATGTTGAATCTTTATGTGGCTGCGACAAATTCTGATAAAAACGATTAAGTTCGGAGTTCTTCTGCAAAGCCACAGCCTCTTCAGCACATGTAGCTGTCCCTCCGCCTACTTTTTCACTACAAAAGAGCCTTGCTTCATATTCCTAGTAAGGAAATCAGAAATTGTAAAACCATGGTGCATTAAGTCATACTGCAAACCAACAAGGATTAAAAAAAATAAAAATAAAGAAGAAGAAGAGTAACAAACCCGAACAATTCATCTAGTTCACAAAGAACACATAGAGGACCATCATCATAAGCCTTGCAATTTCGACAATTTCTCACGTGGTGAATATCCTCTTCCTTTGGCTTCTCCATCGTCTGATCAAATTCTAAAGGTCGATCAAGCAACACCTTCCTAGATGCTGCTAATTGGTCCAAACCAGTCTGCATATGATACTTCAGGCCACTTATGCTTCGGAAACTATATATCAAAGGGACACAAAATTAATCAGAATCCACAAAATATTAGACAGCTAGACTCAGTTTACTTGAAAGTATTGGAAGCCACAAGCAACATTCTCGAGATACTGGTGAAGAGATAAACAGTGCATAAGGTCAAATATATGACCCTGCAGTAGATGTGATGTAGCGAACCCAAACGTTTACTTACCGAGACACAATTCTCGATGACTTCCCTTTGTTTAGAGTTGTTACAAGGGCCTCTTCAATCTTTCTGATCAAATCCCTAGAGAGGTCTGAGTTCTTTTCAGCGTGAAGAAGATACAGAGTGTGATCTTCTAGACAATAAATAGAGGATCATAAAGTGCTACACGGAAGCAGGTACGAAATATACCTGTGTCTGTGTGTAAGACTTGTTAAACTCTGGTTGAGCCATGGATAGCTTTGAACTGAATGCAGACAAGTACTTCTGCTTAATATTGTCACAGGCTATTCTCAAAGATACATCACTGAAAGAACTACATGATGCATGGGGCCCATTATCGCATTCTTGGTGAACAGCAGGAACTTTATATGATAATTCAGATGCACCTTCAAGTGAGTTACCGGCATCATTGGCAATTTCGTCTTTCCCACAAAGTTTTTGCCTCTTCGCTACATGTTGATCACAAGTTTCAATGCCCTGTATCTTGGAGGCCATTTTACTAGAGCTCCCGGGAAACTGTTCTTTTGAAGGGCAGCAGTTTGTTGCCAATGCGAGTATTTCTGCAAGATTATGATAAATGCGGATATTCAACAAGGGGTCCAGGCGGAAATCCTCAGAGTGCTCTTCGGCTAAATCCAGCGCTTCCTTGTACAGGGATATAGCTGGAGTGAAACGTTGTTCGAGTATACCTATCTCGGCAAGCCCATTGAGAGCCCATTAAACAACAGAACACCCAAAAAACAGAAAAACGAAAAAAAAGCTAATTAAACACACTACAATTTAACAAACAAAATAGTAAGCTTTTGACATATTACAATTTGGAATTCAGAAAGTCACAGAATTTAATCCCAGATGATTAAATTAACGAACTTTGATTATCCGGACATGTTCATTCACTGGAACAATGTAATTAAGTTAACGTACAATCTTTCAAAAAAAGTTTAAAGTACAAAAACAGGAACGACGAATTACTGTTAATCCAGAATTTTTGTTGGGTTGACTACGTATGTAATCTTGTATTCCAATGCAAATACACAGTTAATGGCAAAAAAAACATTTATCCAAGTTACTTTTACTGTTGTACTTTCTCTTCTACCGTTCGATTGCGATCCAACGGTAGTTTAATATAATTTTCTTAGTTTAAGGTCTACCGTTAGATTGCGATGGAACGGTAGTTTACTACAATTTTCTTAGTTTAAGAAATGGAATCATCGTTATACAGGGGCTTCATTTTTAATCAATGTGTCTCGGAGTCAAATTACACTTACAAAAATTAAAAATTAAGATTTAAAGAAACATGGCACAAAGTGGCCAGGGATCTGCTGTCCCCAAACTCGTGTCTCTATCCGTGTCTCTTTTATAATTTTCCGACACGTGTCGTTTAATTTAAGTCCAAGTTAACACTGTCAAAGTTCATTAGATTAAATAAATTAAAATTAAAAATTAAAGAAAATAAAACCAAAAGGGATTGGAAGTGTAAGGGACAGGAGATCTGGGGGCAGAGAGGGGTTGGGGAACAGGGGCGACGATGATGGCCTGTTGGGAGTTAGCGTTTGGAGGGAGGTTGATGGCGGGAGCACGGATTGGGCGGTAGTTTGGGCGACGGGAGATGGCGGCGAAGGAGGGGGGAGCGGCCATAGGGGTTGGGGCTCCAGATTTGCAGTAGTAATGAAAATGGCGATGGCGGTGGTGCTCCAATTTGCAGGAAGTGGGTTGGGTCTCCATTTTTGGAGGAAGTGGAGGGAGAAAAAGAATGGAACTCAAATTGGGAGACAGACTGTTTCTATCATGACTATCTGAAGAGAGAAAAAAATGGCGAGGAGAGAGAGAAGGGTGTTCCGATAACAAATTACTGTGTGTTGGGGAGGGTGTGGCGGTCGGATTGGTGTTGGTGGGGAGTTTGAGTGACTGTTGGTTTTATTTTCTTTAACTTTTAGTTTTAATTTATTTAATCTTGAAACTTTGTCGGTGTGAATTTAGAGTTAAACTAAAGGACACTTGTTAAAAAATTGTAACGAGACACGGCTAGAGACACAAATTTGGGGACAGCAGATCCCTAGCCGCACAAAGTAATAGAAAAGCCAGGAGGATCCTTGCCGGATCTTCTTTGTAAGGATTCTTAGGATTCTCTAATTACATTTGTTCATCGTATTATAAATTATTGTAAATTTTTTTATTTAAAATTGAATATAAACAGTACCCGTAAAAAACTAACCGCATTATATACCATAAACAAATATGATTAGAAGATTATTATGATATGATCCTCTCTCATAGAAAAGCGCTATTAATTGAAGCAGTTCAGGACTGAGAAATCTCACGGCGGTAAAGTGGACAAGTCTCAGAACCGCGCCAACAGTGAACAGCCTAGCCACGTGGCGTCCTCTCTTTCACTTACGACTCGTGAGTCGTGTGTATTAGCACTTAGCAGGCACTCGCAAGCTGACAGAGAACGACGTCGTGAAAGTTTCCAAATTCCGCTTTGACACTTGCAAATTCCAAGCCCCGATTTAATTTCCAGAAATTTTGGTAATTTCTTTGTTTTTTTCAAGTGAAGAGATGGCTGTTTCGATGGTCTCAGCCGTGAGAGGTGGTCGTTTGCCGGCACTTCACCGTCATCACCGCCATCACCGCCGTCAGATGATTCCGAGCTCCTCCTCCTCGTCGATTATTGGTAGTTGGGGTTCGTTAAAATCATCGAAGCAGCTTAATTGCAGCTCAAACTCAAGGGGCTTCACTCTCTTTGCCCGGTACTCTCAAGCTCAGGATCTTTACTCCTCCCGCCTTCAAGGTGCTTAATTTCTCTCTCCCGTTGGCTTTTGGATTTTGGGTTTGAATTTTGGTTTCTGGGTTTATCTCAAGCTTAAATCTTTATTTGATTTGTGGGTTTTTTTTAATAATTTATTTGTTACCCATACGAACAAAATAATAGATTATACTTCTGCTAATGGTAATGTTCTGCTCACATTGATATTTTTAATCATGAAGATGTGAACTTCTTGGTGTTTCGCTTAATGGGTACCTCGAAAAATGTTCATTTTTTCACTTCTTTTAGTGAGTAATTGGCTGTTGCCTTTTTCATGGATATACAGAAGTGAAACTTAGGTGTAAAAACTGTTGAGCAGAAGTACAACTCTTCTGTTTGGCAGACAGTTATGAATTAATCGCATCACCTCTCAGAATGAGAAGGAAACTTTGATTCGCGCCTTTGTTTAGACCCGGGCATGGGCATCTGTGTTCTTTAAGCTTGAATTATTTTCTTTCTGGATCACTCTATTCGTTTGAGGTTTTAAGGTGAAGCTGGAATTTCATGTTGTTACCAGATAGGTTCGAAGACTTGCCTAAACTGGTGGAGGACATTCTCCAAACATCAGTAAGCACAGGTCCTCGCGGCGCTCTTAGGATGGTCCAAGGTATTCAGGCGTTTATTGGGGTTGGGGGGGAGTGGCTTGCCGACGTATCAAAGGTAACAGGAACTTCAATTTTTATGGTTGTACTTTCTTTATTCAATAGACTTTGTTTCCTACTGCTCAAGTCTTTCCTTTTAGTTATATTTTTTTAGGGTTTTCTCATTTTTTATTCTGTACATGAGGATTATGCAAATTTCATATCTTTTCCATTTTAACATATCATCACAAGCATTTGATTGTTGCATTGCTTGCTTGGCTTTCACCTTGTGCAATTGCCAATTGAAGGGGTTCAATGACAACATGTGTTTGTTATCACCAATTCCATTAACTTGGATTAAGATTTCACTCAATTGAGTGTTCTGTTAACACCTAGGTATTCGTTAACACTGACCCTTTTATCTGAATAAGCAAACTCTTCAGGAGTATACTTGTAAATGACCTTACCTTTGGTCTGTAGTCAGCAAACTCATCTGCCGGATTACCAACCCAACTGCAGCTTGGATTGGTGTCCCCCCTTTATTTGAGGAGATTGTTTGAGCGCATGGGGGCAACCTACGTTAAGTTGGGTCAGGTATATCTTGTTTTTATTCTTGTTTTTTGATTGCTACTCCATAAGTTTGTTCATTATATCTAGTATAAACTAGCAAAAGATTATTATTTTACTTTACTATCTTTATTCATTCAATGTACACAATCACTAATGCTATGCTATTTACAAATGATAGTTCATTGCATCGGCACCAACATTGTTCCCACCAGAATATGTTGAAGAATTTCAGAACTGCTTTGACAGAACTCCTGCAGTACCCTTTGCGGAGATTCAAGCAATCTTGCGACAGGAATTGGGGAGACCAATTGACAGTGTTTATGAATATGTTGACCCAACCCCGCTCGCTTCAGCCTCAATAGCACAAGTTCTTTTCTCTTCCTATCAAATTTCTTATGTTCCTCAATCATTCTGTAAGCTTGGTAATAAGATTTGTGATATATTATGTTTAGGTTCATGCTGCAAGGCTAAGAGGCTCCCAAGAAGATGTAGTTATAAAGATCTTGAAACCCGGAATAGAAGATATGTTGGTTGCAGATCTAAATTTTATCTACATTGTAGTCCGCATTTTGGAATTCTTGAGTCCTGACATAAGCCGCGCTTCATTGGTATGTGGACATAAATTTCTGCAGTTGTAACAATTGACTTTGACTCTTATTGTGGATGACAAGCATAACCATACTAATTATTTTCGTACTCTTTAAATCATTTACACTGCCAATTTCTTTAGTTACAAGTTTTATTCTGTGAAAGCACAAACATTTAAGCTGATTATGTAATTATTAGTGTCCTTTGGACTCTATGAGTAGTGAAATAATTTGGGACAATGTCAGCATCTTTGGTGCTTGTTCTTCTATCCTGCCTTAGTCGAAAGAATAAATGTCCATTTAGTATGCATTCATATGTTGCGAAATGATGGTGGATAGAAGTTTCCTTTGTAATCTGTAGAAGTTTCCTTTGTAATCTGTTCATCGTTTCAGTAGGTTGGTATTGTGCAAGATATACGGGAGTCCATGCTTGAAGAAGTTGATTTCTATAAGGAGGCTGCAAACATTGAGTCCTTTAGGAGATATTTAGAAGCCATGGGACTCACAAGGCAGGCTACGGCTCCAAAAGTGTATCACCAATGCAGCAGCAAACGAGTTTTAACAATGGAGAGGCTATACGGAGTTCCTCTTACTGACTTAAACAGTATAAGTTCCTTTGTCTCTAATCCGGAGACCAGTCTCATAACTGCCCTTAATGTGTGGTAGGACTTGAATATTTTATCCACCATTCAGGTGCTTGTAGTTTTTGTGTTCATTTATTTGTCAAAATTTTTACCTTGTCGCTTGTTATGAAATGTCTCTGTAGGTTTGGCAGTTTGCTTGCCTGTGAAAGCTTCCACGCAGATGTGCATGCAGGCAACCTGTGGTTGTTGCGAGATGGCCGCATTGGGTTTCTTGATTTTGGTATTCATATATCTTCATGCACCAATTGTACTCATTGCTTACTTATAGTTCTAATTGTCTGTCGGTTTTTTTTTTTTAATGTTTCAGTTGCTTATACAATATCTGCACATATGACTAAACGTTTATACCTTATATAATATATACTATGCAGAAAAAGACTTGCCTCATGTTTGTTCTTTAACAACTTGCATAGTTCCATGATGCAGTACCTACCATTTGCTTGAAAGTTTTAGAAGTTCTCTGTATTTGTCCAACCTTTCAAATGTTATTGAAGTATTTTTGCCTGCGTTTGACTTAAATTTACAGGAATCGTTGGCCGTATATCCCCGAAAACATGGGGTGCCATGGAAATCTTTCTGGCATCAATTGCAACTGAAGAATATGAATCAATGGCATCTGCACTGATTGAAATGGGTGCTACAGACACAAATGTTGATACTAAGGCCTTTGCAAGAGACTTGGAAAAGATGTTCTCATCAATAAAGGCAAGCATTAAATTCAGGAGTTTGCTAATTGTGTTTTGGTTTCCAAAAAGGTTAATTTTTCGGTCTGTACTTGTTCTGAGACTATTTCAGAGCTAAGGGAAATTCGTGTTTAGCAGAATGGTGCAGCCAAAAGATAACCCTATTTCCTTGCCCTTAAATGTTGTGCTGTTTAAAAGAATTCAAACTGAAAGAGGTGTGTTGAATCGGAAGGGGCAATAGCCGGATTTAGAATATAGAAAGGAAGTGGCTAAATCAGCTTATTGATAACAATCGCATTTGCTTCTTACAACTCCTCATGTGCAGGATTTGGATACTGAAGTAGTCATAGCAACTGCCAGGGAACCATCTACGAATGCAACTGCTGTCTCTGCTAATCTAGTTGTTGATGAGAGACAAATGAATGCACTTTTTCTCGATGTGGTACGCTGTTGACTCCCTTTAGGTTTACATGCCTGCATGATTTAGCGCTACTTCTGTAGCTTATGCCATCTTTTGACAAATTGTTCTGACGCCATGAACTGCTCGCATGTTCCTATTTCAGGTTCGGGTTAGTGAATCATATGGATTGAAATTTCCACGAGAGTTTGCACTTCTCCTGAAGCAGCTTTTGTATTTTGATCGGTACACCCGTTTGTTGGCCCCGAACTTGAATATGCTCCAAGACCAAAGGATTTCATCGCTTCTAATCGAAGAACCAACTACAGGAACAATTTCAGATGAACCTAGGAAGTGCAGATGCAGCTTCTTGTAGGTTGTGTAAATGTAAATAAAAAGTTCTCCAGCATTCGGAGTTACATTCAATAGGAACGATATCGAGAACAAGAAGAATACTGTACTCTAAACCATACGAAAGCAAAGCGTGTATCGTTTTATGTATGGAATTGATCATATCAGATTCTTCTCCTATTTTATGTATGGTTTTATGTATAGTTGCACAGGATATGTTGCATATAAACAAATAAACGAAATAGAAATCCCTGGTAAACTTGTATATACACACAACGATCGAAAACTTGATTTCTACATCTAACATATACTCACTCATGGGAAACTATATCAGAAAGAACTCCTTTCGCGACAAATTTTCGAGTCCTAACATGTAGATATGGCAAAAATAAGGCAACGTCTCTGTTCGAATCACTTCCCGGAAACCTTTGCTTCCGTCAGGGTTCTATTCGCTTTCTCCAACTTTGCAATGCTTCAGGGTCCGGTAAGTGAGACGAATAAGTTCTTCCATTTGAGAAGAATCCTCGGAGCTTCGTATTATCATACTCTGAGAAATCTGTTGGTTCCTTGAGTTCAAGGTTATCTCTGCAAAGGGTATGAGCTTCTCCCTGTCTGAGATGATCCAGACCCTCTAATCACTTGGCTTGGCGAAGCGTAGCCCATGAGTCGATGAAGTGGTGAACTCGACTTTGCTGGCAGCTCCTTGATTTCTGAGGATAACGATGGTCTTGCTGACACATATGTTTCAATTGGATTCTTATCTTTGTTCTGAGACTCTCTCAAAACAAGCTCCTTCCTCTGTCTCATTTGATCCAATGAACTATATGACATATTCCGGTCTTCTGAATTGCCTCGGGGAGAGTTGGAGGGTGCGAGAGCTCCAGGATCACCGTCAGTAGAGTAACCGTTGTAGTAAGAGGGTCCGTAACCATAATCATCAGAACATGAAACAGTATCCGCATGTTGAGCCAAGTTACCGCCATTAGATGCAGCATTATAGTCGCCAACCTCACTCGGAGGAGGGGCTATAGCATTCTGTTCATAGGGGACAATATGCGATCTCTTTTGGAGCGAAAATCTGAGCACCTCCAAGCAAGCCCCACATCGAAGTCTATGGTATCTCCTTTTGAAAAGGAGAAAATCTGCAGGTATCAGCAGTAGTTTTGAGCAGTTGTAACAAGTTATGATAGGGGCTCCACCTGCTATGGGGCGGAAATGTCGCTTAGCCAAATGTTGTTTCTCTCTGTAAAGCTTCTTCACATCATGCCTTTGGTGCCTCAGATCATCAGACATTGTTTCACGGCCCCAAAGAGGAAAATCAGATTCCACATACCGTTCGGGAGTTAAGGGACGAGACTCGTCATATGATGTCCAGCAACTGTGACCAGGGTGAACCATACATAACCCGTTGTTGCTGCAACGAATGGGTTGAGGCAAAGGTGCTGAGCACTGCCAGTCTTGGGGTTCATGATGCAAATATGAAGAATCAGCTTGGTGCCTGCTGGTTGTTGCCTCACTTGAGAAAGGTATACGCATGTTTTTGCGGTGGTGTTCAGGGGGATAGTGGCTGCCTGCCCTGTGTCTTCTCAGATACCTCTGGTAGTTTGGATCATGATAGAGTTCCTCCTCGGATGCCTCATAATCACGGTACTGGGCCATGCTCTTCTCCTTCCAAGTGGCTCCTCTGGCAACCCTTCCACCCGCCTTTCCATTCAAATTGTTAACTTGATCCTGCAGTTCATAAACCATTCTTAATAGTGTCCTCTTGTCCTGTTCAGCCTCCACAGACATTTCAGATGATTGGTAGCCTGAATTGTGCTGGTACTCATTATCCAGTTGATTTGTGAGGCCTCTATTTTTGTATCCGCCTTGGGAAACTCTTCGACGGAATGCCATCCTAGACATATATTCATCACTCTGCAATCTATTCCAATCTCGGCTTGGATGGCCTTGTCTTCTAGGTGGCAGTAATGCATCTTGATCCCACTTTCTGTATTTCATGGCATGATCATTCTTCACAGGAAAATTTGACCAGGGATCCCTTGCTTGACGTTGCAATCCTGAATCTCTAGTCATCATGCTATTCGCCATGAATTTATCCCTTCGGATTCTTTCTTCAGAATGAACAATGTTTGAACGTGTATTTCGGTTGAAGAACTGATCATCCATGCCATCATAAGAAGAAACACTGGCATCATAAGCATGATGACTTCTATTTGCTGGGGACTTCGACAGATCTCTAGGTGCACCGCTAAGCTCAAAGCTGGGGAAGAACTCCGTATTTTCAAATGCATCAGGAGACCCTACATGATCAAAGCCATTGGGAAAATCATTATTCTGAGGTTCCTCCAGTTGGCCATTAGGAGAAGATGTCAGGGAATCCGCTGCAACGCTTTCCCTTACTGCCATATGAGCAGTAACTATACTTTCAAATGCAACAGGAGACCTTACATGATCAAAGCCATTGGGAACACTATTCCGAGGTTCCACCTGTTGTTCATTGCGAGAAGATTCAAAGGAACCTGATGAAATGATTTCCCGTGAGGCCGTATGAGCAGCAACATTTGAACTACTTCCCCTTGCATCTCCCTGATTTACAGTATTTGAGCTCTGGAAATCAGAATCAATCTCCTTGTTGATGCCTACGTCCATATTTTTCTCTCCTAAAGCTGAGCTCTCCTTAACTTCTTCACGTGCAAACTCAGTCGATGAACAAAATTCATTGGAAACTTCAAGTTTCTCACTATCAAAATCATGAGAATCATTTTGATCACTCTGATTATTTTGATCTTCATTTGGTAGGTTTATATCTCCAACTTGTTCATGATCACAATCTTCAGAAGACTCATCGGGACCCTTCATACTGGTTGAAGTGCACTCTCCTGAGTCTGGAAGAGTAGCCCCATGATTTGCGCTGCCAAATTCTCTGTCATCAGAAGACTTGATTTCACTCTTCTTATTGTCTTGTTCTGAGAAGCATTTTCCCGAGTCAGGAAAAGTTGCCTCTGGACTTGAGCTGCTAAGCTTGTTGCCTTCTGAAGGTTCACTTAGATCCCTCTCGTTGTTTTGGTCCAGTAAACATTCTCCCGAGTCAGGAAAAGTAGATTTTGGACTTGAGCTGCTAAATTTGTTGCCTTCTGAAGACTTAATCTGCTCCTTCTCATTGTTTAGGTCCAAGAAACATTCTCCTCGAACAGTAGCCTTGGGACTTAAGCTGCTGGATTCATTACCTTCTGAAGATTTACTAATGACAGGATTATCTGTCTCATTGTTTTGGTCTGAAGCGCATTCTCCCGACTTTGAAAGACTTGCATTATGACCTGAGGTGCTAGATCCTTCGTCTTCGGAAGACTTATCTTCGCTCTTCTCCTTGTTTTGGTCCGAAAAGTATTCTCCTGGGTTTGAAAGATTTTCATTTTGAATTGAGATGCTAGATTCGATGACTTCAGAAGACTTATCTTCACTCTTCTCGTTGTTTTGGTCAAAAGAGTATTTTCCCGACTCAAGAAAAGTAAGCTTACGAGTACTTGGGCTGCTAGATTCGTTGTCTTCTGAAGATTTACTTCGATCCCCCTCGTCGTTTTGCTCTGGAAGAGCTGCATTATGACTCGAGCTGCTAGATTTCTTTTCTTCGGAAGGCTTGTCTTCGTTCTTCTCATTGTTTTGGTTCAAAAAGAAATTTCCTGATTCAGGATAAGTAGCCTTAGGAGTACTTGAGGTGCTAGACTCGTTGCCTTCTGACGACTTCTTCTGATCCCTCTCATTCTCTTGGTCTAGAGGAGCTGCATTATGACTTGAGCTGCTAGATTTTTCTTCTTCGGAAGGCTTGTCTTCATCCTTCTCATTGTTTTGGTTCAAAAAGCAATTTCCTGATTCAGGATAAGTAGCCTTAGGAGTACTTGAGGTGCTAGACTCGTTGCCTTCTGACGACTTCTTCTGATCCCTCTCATTCTCTTGGTCTAGAGGAGCTGCATTATGACTCGAGCTGCTAGATTTCTCTTCTTCGGAAGGCTTGTCTTCATCCTTCTCATTGTTTTGGTTCGAAAAGCAATTTCCTGATTCAGGATAAGTAGCCTTAGGAGTACTTGAGGTGCTAGACTTGTTGCCTTCTGACGACTTCTTCTGATCCCTCTCATTCTCTTGGTCTAGAGGAGCTGCATTATGACTCAAGCTGCTAGATTTCTCTTCTTCGAAAGGCTTGTCTTCATCCTTCTCATTGTTTTGGTTTGAAAAGCAATTTCCTGATTCAGGATAAGTAGCCTTAGGAGTACTTGAGGTGCTAGACTCGTTGCCTTCTGATGACTTCTTCTGATCCCTCTCATTCTCTTGGTCTAGAGGAGCTGCATTATGACTCGAGCTGCTAGATTTCTCTTCTTCGAAAGGCTTGTCTTCATCCTTCTCATTGTTTTGGTTCGAAAAGAAATTTCCTGATTCAGGATAAGTAGCCTTAGGAGTACTTGAGGTGCTAGACTCGTTGCCTTCTGACGACTTCTTCTGATCCCTCTCATTCTCTTGGTCTAGAGGAGCTGCATTATGACTTGAGCTGCTAGATTTCTCTTCTTCGAAAGGCTTGTCTTCATCCTTCTCATTGTTTTGGTTTGAAAAGCAATTTCCTGATTCAGGATAAGTAGCCTTAGGAGTACTTGAGGTGCTAGACTCGTTGCCTTCTGACGACTTCTTCTGATCCCTCTCATTCTCTTGGTCTGAAGAGCATTCTCCGGATTCAGAAAGAGTTGCATTACGAGCAGAACTTCTGGATTTTTTATCTTCAGAACCGTGATCCAAACGAATCCTCTGAGCTGCCTCAGTGTCATTTAAGCTAGCGCTCTTGCTTCTCAATCCATTTACTCGAGGTTTTGCTGCATCCAGAAGGACGATTTAGGAAACTAATACAAACAATGAAGTAAAAAACTGAGTAACAATATGTCGAAGTAGCTATCTATAAAACTGCAGGTGAAAAAAAGAGAGAGCTCAATTACTCCGAACGTTGAATCAACAGATAGAAATGACATTGGTCCCACATGCGATTTCTCATATTAAACAAACTAAGCAATCGAAGAACACAATCTCGCCAATGTGGGGTTAGGCCGGTTGGCCAGGTCCCACACACCCGAGTTCAAATCCCTCGCCCGATAAATTGTAGTAGTTTAGAATAGAATATCGCCTTATCAACAAAATTATCGCGGAAAATCTCAATAGCTGATTCCTTCCTTCTCTATACATGTTGATAGTTTTTTTTTTTTTTTTAGTATATCAATATTTTTTACACTAAGAGAGGAAGGGAAGTTCGGCTAAGCCACAAAAGACAATCTAATTTGGTATCGAATTCGTCATCTACGAGATTCAAATCTAAGATCTCTCACTTCCAATGAAGAGGGATACCAACCAGTGGAGATGAATACCACCAGACCATAGTTATATATACAACAAAGTAGATAGCAAATTAAATTTGTGATATGGTTTGAGTTTAATACCTTGGAGAGTGACACCACATCCGCCGCACCTGTAGACCGGAACATCCGGCAACTCCGCAAGAAGTTGCCGGCATTTCGGACATCGTACCAGTCGAACATTTGCTGTCAGTTCAGGAGACATCTTTGCCCAACACAAACGAAGGGGCTTCCAGTTCCAGCAAAAAAGTCTCAAACTTCGAAGGAAGCTATAGAATTTCAAACACCATCTGCAACACAAACAAAAGGGCTTCCAGTTCCAACAAATTCTCCAAAAAACTAAAAGGGTTTTTCTAAGATCCATGAAACAACAGCAAGAACAACAAAAAAACATAAAAACAGGAACATTCCGAGCTAGAATTTGAGGAAATTAAGGAAGCAGTACCTGAACAAAACAGAAGCAAAACCTCAGACTTCGGAGAGATCCAAAAGAGAGAGACGGACAGAAAAAGGCAGTGAATTTTGTTTGTCTGTTTGGTTTTCACGAAATGGGTGAAGAAGGCAAGGCGAATGGAGGTGTTCGGCAAAAATGTGGAAAAAAAGTATATAAAAAATCTTAGTCTTTGGTGTTTACTGTTTGGCAAAGCTCGTCAAAGTCTTGGGAGTGCGTAAAGGGGTAAGTCTGTGATTTTCCAAGCAGAGGAATCGATAAGGATTTGGAATTGGTCTTCTGCTTTTTTCGTGGTGAAGAAGCTTCTTCCTGGTCAGATCACTGCTGACCGTGAGAAACCCGGGCAAGCTCAAAGACTGACTACAGAGAAGAGAGAGAAGATAGAGAGATGAGTGATACCCCCGCCCACGTATGTAAAGCGTCCGTCTTGACGTGTCATCTTGTTACTAACTCCGAGATTAGCTTACTTGATACGGAAATATCAAGGTTGCGAGAAATTCTTGTGCTCGGTCGTAGAACTTTGTCATCCTAATACCCACACACAAACTAGCGAGCCCCCTTGTAATTATAGCAAAGATTATCTCTTGGTGCTAAAACATAGTTCGAGTGGTGTCACCTGACCAATGAATATATGTTACGTGCAACCATTTAATACGGTCTATATGTGGTGTCTTTGATTACATGAGAGTTCTCCCATACAATAACGTCCCCCACTATCCCACTTTCACCAACAAAGCACAAAGCAATCTGTTGAGAGTAGCGTTACACTTACCATCTATTGTACCATCATTTGTATCATTTCTACAATAGAAATAGATTCCGCCAACACATGTAGATCTCGTCTCTATTATAGAGATGGTACAAATAAATGGTAAGAATATCATTTTTAATCTTTTGGTTGTGAGTATTTTAAAGTAACGATATATCAAACTAATCATGAAGTTTTTTTTCAAAAAATGTAAAACAAATATTTATGTTATTAATTCAAAAAGTTAGGGTAGCGTTGAAGTGTAGGTAGGCCCTTCTCTACCAACTCCCCTTCCCCCCACCCCCCATAATTCAAATCAATCAATGCAAAGCTAAACACTTATCCCGTTATCCGTATTACCATTTGGCACAAGAGAATCGAAATACTAAGAAAAAAAATTCAAAAGTCAAACTCTCTCTCCGTCATTTTATATTTTTAGACAATTTTCATATTAATATAATAAAATATTATGTATAAAACTTGAGGAGCGAAGAGCTCAAAAAAAATCTAAAGATTCTCCTTAGCATTTCTCAACCAACCACTCTTCCCTCGCTGGCACGACAGTTATATAGGTAGGGTTATTTGGAAAAGGATCCTCGTCGAATTCTTTTTCTAGGAATCCCGTAATCGTATTTGTTCATTGTAAATCGTGCATTTAATTTTCATTAGGTACTATTTATATTTGAATTTTAAAATTTTAAATTTTAAATAATTTCTGACCGTATAATATACGATAAACGGACACGATTATGAGATCCCTAAAAAAAGGATCCGGCGGTTATTTTTCCAAAACTCGAAGGTCTTCAAGTCAAAGTCAACTGCCTCAGCCACACAAGCAACTGCTATTTCTGGGTTTCTGCTGGGAAGTCCCAGGGGAGTTTTCACGTCAAAAATCCCCATTGGCTATGAGGAATCACATAAAAATAGACAAAGGGCTGCAAAGTCAAACCTCTGGAATTGTATGGCCTGTCTCTCACTCGTGGCAGTCATCCTGCACTGTATAGAGTAGGTATATTTTCTTGTGTGGGTCCAAAATTTGACTACAGGGGTTTAACACATGAACCAAGTCAAATCAAATTATTAGGCTAACTACAATTTTCAATTACGAGAAAAAAAATGTTAAAAAGACTCTCTTAAAGTGAAATTATTTATGAAAATTCTGTCACCTTATAGTTTAACGTCAATTCGCATGTTAACATTATAAATATGATGCATAAAAATGAAGTGACATAGAGTCTATAGATAGTTCACTTTTGAGAGAGTCTCTTTAGCATTATGTTTTCTGTCCAAAATGTTTTATAATGGTACCACATAAATTGACGTTAAACTGTGAGGTGACAAATAATCAACTTATGAGAGAGTCCCCTTAGCATTCCTCTTACATCTACAATAGTAAGCGGAGCTAGGTTGAAGATAATATTTTAGGAGTAAATTGTAGCAATAGTCCCTCATCATTGGTCCCTCAACTTATCAAAACGTATAGCTATAGTCATTTTTGTCAACTTCGTCATATTTTTGTCAAAATAAGTTATGTTGGAAGGACCATTGCTACAATCGGGTTAAAGTAAAGGGATAATTTCTCCAATTAGGTTAAAGTTGAGGGACCATTTATTCAGTTAGATTAAAGTTGAGGGACCATTGGTAATGAATTTTTAGTTGAGGGACTATAGCTGCACGTTCTGATAAGTTGAAGAACCAATAGTAATGGATTTTTAGTTGAGTGACCATTACTCCAATTGAGTTAAAGTTGAGGAATCATTACTACAATTTACTCATATTTTGGTATGGCACTGTCGTAGTCATGGAGTGTTTCAAACGCACATATATTAAGAACGACATATATGTCAATTGGTAACAAAAGCGCTAAACTAAATTTTGGAATAAAAGAACTAGTGTCGTACTAATTTATTAATTAGTCAGTGTTTGAAGACAATTGAAAATATCATAAATAAATTAACACCGTAACACGTTACAATATGAGTAAACAGATTATTTGCGTAAAAGTCTCAGTATAAAACCAAAGATGAAAGATTTCTTGGAAGCGAGGGTACCTCTTGCAAAAAGACGTGGCCGCTCGGGCTTGGTAGCATGGCTTCGCATTCACAAGTGAAAAAGGGTTTCAAATTTGTCCGTATGACTACTTGACTTCGACGTGCTGACGGCATGAATGTTTCCGGACATGAATTTGGCTGAAATGCATTTGTGAGTTTTTTTGTCTATCGAAAGGAATAAATAACCGTGACTTACCAGTTACCACCAGTTATCCCCTTAAAAAAATAAAAATAAAAATAAAAAACTTTCTATTTCCAAATAACTCCTTTTTTGGTCAAACATCGGTATCTTCCTCGTTGTCTTTTTTTCTTTCTCTTTATTCCTGTTTTGTTCTTGTTTGTGTTCCCAAGTATTTTCTTTTGCTTTGCATTTGCATGTCTTCTTGTCCTTGTTGGTAACTCACAAAACCTGGGAAATTGAAGTCACTTGTGCATTTGGAGGCCATGTGAGATAAAAGTAGTTTTATATGAGCTCACTAAATTGAGAAAATGCTAGCATGAAGAGAATCTTCAGTTGGGCGGCTGATCACGTCATTTGTAATGTGAATTACTAAATTAACTAAGAAATTTGTATCAAACAATAAAAGAGTTGAAAAGGTTGAGGTTTTATCAGAAAAGCAATTGATAATAGGAGTAGTTGTGGATGCAAATTTTCACCTCTTCGATCTTGGACGATTTTGCACCTACAAAACAACTAGCACCTTAGGTTAAGGCCAAAAGCCTCACGCGCCCACGATGAATGGGGGCGCTTTGGCCGAAGAACCTCCGATGCCAAAGTTAGAATTTTAGAGAGAAATAGTGTTTAGAATGTTTTGGAATTTTTGCAAGAGGTTTGGAATTAGTGTTTGGTAGAAATGGGTGAATATTTATAGGACTAAGTTGGTCCATTTTTCCAAAGAAATGGCCTGCCACTTTGTCCATGTTTTTGGTGAATTTGTGGTTTAATTAGCCACTTTATTGGCTAATAAAATATGATAGAAATAAATGGGGTTATCAAATTGAATGATTAGCTTTATTTGGGTAATAAGATGGAGAAAGTAAAAAAGGTAAGGAACAAAAGGGAGGAAATGTGGCCGGCTACTAGGTGGGAATTTTAGGTTTAATTAGCCAATTAATTGGCTAATTAAATATGAAAGGAAATATTTTAGTATTTATGGTATTGATTGGCTAATAAAAGGGAAGAAATGATGGGAAAAAGTAGAAAAAAGGTAATGGACTAGGTTTTGAATGGGATAGCCGGCCCTATAGTATTTTTTAGGTTTGAGTGGATGTTTCAAATTGATAATTAAGGGATTGATTGGGTAATTAATCCCTTAATTAATCAATTTTTTAGGAAACATGAAAGGATTATATTATTTAGCTAATTGATTAGCTAAATAATGGAATATAAAACATATAAAATAAATTAGGTTTTGGGAATTACCTTATAGAAAGGATTTGATGAAATAGGCTTTAAATCGTTACCTATTTTGAGCACTTTTAACTTGGTTGAAAGATAATTTCCTACTGCTTGCGCGTAGGAATCCCGGTATGCCTCGAGGGTATTTTTGTCCTCTTTTGTTCAAAAAGTCCACGTATCGCCTAGTGAATATTTTTGGCTCCACAAATGCCCCCACACCTGTTGGGATGCTCGCAAAAAAGGGCAGCAGGTGTAGAGATCTTCTTGCTTTAGGAAACTTAAGACTGCTTCCTATTTTGATGTTGATTATCTCTTTAATAGGAAATTAGATCCTTCTAGGAAAGGGAAATAAATTTCTCTCAAAGCCTATTTAAGTCCACCTTAAGTGGGTTATTAAATCAGCTTTGGAGAATGATTTATTCTACCCTACAAGAGAGAGATAGCTTAGAGGATATTTGTTCCCCCTCCTCTAGCAATCTTCTACATCTTGCCCGTGCAAAGGACCGTCTTTCGTTGCTTTCTTCGTCTTCTTCGTGCCGCACCGATGTAAGAAAAATTTAATTTTTCTTGCCTTATTCTTGGATAGTGCTATTGCGGGGCAGCCGTCGGGGTGGTGCGGCACATCGGCTGGCAGGGGCCAGGAGTTGGCTCGGCATGGGCCGAGGAGATGTCGTGGCAGGGACTACTGCTTGGGCAGCTTGGCTTGGCTTGAGCCAAAAGGCAGCTTGTGCAACTAGGGTCGCGGATTGTGGCGCTGGGGTGCAGTGCTAGGCGAGCCGCATGGCTCATGTCCTTTGGGCTCTTGGACCTGACTCGGGCCAGGCTGGCGATTGAGAGAAATAAGGAGATTGCGGGTCTCACGGGCTGCTGGAATGTTGGGCATGCATGCCTCCTGCCTGCTGGAATACTGGGTTGAGCTCTCCTGCTGAGTACCATGAATGTCGTTGGCTGCTTAGTCCTCTTTGCTGAAAGAAATGTGGGCTGCTCCAGAAAGAGGAGGTAAAGAGGATCAAGGCGGATGCATTGGCTCGTCTGATCGCTGTCGTGGAGCTTACTATGAATGAAGATGGAAAGAAGAGATCTTCCCCGCCTGCTCATAAGATGCCAGTTAAGAAAAAACTGAAGACTTCTTTCGCTGCTCATGAGGGTCCGCTTGCTACCAAGAGGTATGTGAT